CTCTCCAACAGCCAGGATCTTTTTCTCAGCCTGACTGAAGCACCCTCTCAACCCCCAGACAATGAGGCCATGGAAGGGACCTCCGGTGAGTGTACCTTTGTAAATATAAAAAATGGTTTAAAAGCAAGCGTTTTTTAATGATTAATTTGCCCTGAGGACTTGGGATGCATTCGTGGCCAGTACAGCTACTGGAAAAGTCTGTTAACGTGTCTGGGGATGGAGCGGAAATTCTCCAGGGACATCTCCATGAAGCTCTCCTGGAGGTACTCCAAAAGCCTTTGCAGAAGGTTTCTGGGCAGTGCAGCCTTATTCCGTCCTCCATGATAGGAGACTTGACCACGCCATGCGAGTAGCAAGTAATCTGGTATCATTGCATGACAAAGCCTGGCAGCGTATGGTCCCGGTGTTTGCTGGCATTCCAGCAACATCCGTTCTTTATCTCACTGTGTTATCCTCAGGAGAGTGATATCGTTCATGGTAACCTAGTTGAAATACGGGAATTTAATTAAGGGGACAGAGGTGGCCGTTCCTACTGGGCTGTTTGCCTGTGGCTGAAAAGAAATCCTTCCCTGCAGTTAGCCAAGCCGGGGGGGGGGGGGGGGGGGGGAAGCCGGCCGGGGGGGGGAGGGGGGGAGTGGGCCGGGATACCAGCCACGCGGTGGGGGGAGGGATAAAGCGATCATCTCAGAGAATTGGATGGGGGGGGGTTAGTTTGGTTTCTGCTGCTGCACGTTAACAGGAAAACCACAGCACTCAAGGGGCTTTGCTTGGTATGTGGGAAAGGAGGGCGCTGCTTGTAGGAAAGCTGCAGAAGCTGAAAGACAATGGCTTACCATGGCCGCATGCAAGCCGAATTCTGTTGCCCGGACCTGCGTCTGTGCTCTCTAACTCCAAAGCCGCAGGCACTCAATATTAAAAGATGCAAAATGCGACCTTGTACCGAAATCACATGCGCTATGTAATGTGAATAGTGTTGTTCACCGTGAAAGAGTATAAGCATTGTTCTGTAAAATGTATATTTTTAAATACTTCTCTCCCTTTTTTCCTTCCCTCCCGCAGCTGCAAATTTTTCAAGCCTCCCTCCTCCGTCCCGAAGGCTATCTCAGATAAGGCGTAAAAAAAAGAGGACGCGAGACGAAATGTTCTCGGAAATCATGGAATCCAGCTGCAATGAAAGAGCTTATCTGAATGAGTGGAAGGACACGGTATCAAAGTACAGGAAAGATGCCAGTGAACGTGAGGACAGGAGGGACGCTTGAGATGAGAGGTGGCAGGCTGCAACGCTGGGGCTGCTGTGTGATCAAACGGACATGCTCCAGCGTCTGGTGGAGCTTCAGGAACGGCAGCAGGAGCACAGAGTGTCTCTGCAGCCGCTGTATAACCTCCCTCCCCCCTCACCATGCTCCATTACCTCCTCACCCAGACGTGTAAGAATGCGGGTGGGGGGGAGGCTCCATGCATCCTCCCAATCCACCCCAGTGGACAGCCCAACCAAAAGGCTGTCATTACTTTGAACTTTTTTAGTGGCGTTTTCCTTCCCTCCTATCCTCCTCCCAAACCCCACCTGGGCTACCTTCTCAGTTCTCTCCCTCTTTTTATAATCAATTAATAAAGAATTCATGATTTTTAAACGATGGTGACTTTATTTCCTTTGAAAGCAAGCTGGGATCGAAGGGGGAGGATGGGTTGCTTACAGAGAATGAGTCAATAAAGGGGGTGGGTTTTCATCAACGAGAAACAAACAGAACGTTCACACGGTAGCCTGGCCAGTCATGAAATTGGTTTTCAAAGCTTCTCTGATGCGCAGCGCTTCCTGGTGTGCTCTTCTAATCGCCCTGGTGTCTGGCTGCGTGTAATCAGCAGCCAGGCGATTTGCCTCAGCCTCCCACCCCGCCATAGGTCTCCCCCTTACTCTCACAGAGATTGTGGAGCACACAGCAAGCAGCAATAACAATGGGAATATTGGTTTGGCTGAGGTCTGAGCGAGTCAGTAAAGATAGCCAGCGACCTTTTAAACGTCCAAATGCACATTCTACCACCATTCTGCACTTGCTCAGCCTGTAGTTGAACAGCTCCTGACTACTGTCCAGGCTGCCTGTGTATGGCTTCATGAGCCATGGCATTAAGGAGTAGGTCCCCAAGGATAACTATAGGCATTTCAACATCCCCAACTGTTATTTTCTGATCTGGGAAGTAAGTCCCTTGCTGAAGCCGTTTAAACAGAGTAGTGTTCCTGAAGACGCGAGCGTCATGAACCCTTCCCGGCCATCCCACGTTGATGTTGGTGAAACGTCCCTTGTGATCCACCAGGGCTTGCAGCACCATTGAAAAGTACCCCTTGCGGTTTACGTACTGGCTGCCCTGGTGCTCCGGTGCCAAGATAGGAATATGGGTTCCATCTATCGCCCCACCACAGTTAGGGAATCCCATTGCAGCAAAGCCATCCACTATGACCCGCACATTTCCCAGAGTCACTACCTTTGGTAGCAGTAGCTCAGTGATTGCTTTGGCTACTTGCATCACAGCAGCCCCCACAGTAGATTTGCCCACTCCAAATTGATTCCCGACTGACCGGTAGCTGTCTGGCGTTGCAAACTTCCACAGGGCTATCGCCACTCACGTCTCAAGTGTGAGGGCTGCTCTCATCTTGGTATTCTGGCGCTTCAGGGCAGGGGAAAGCAAGTCACAAAGTTCCATGAAAGTGCCCTTACGCATGCGAAAGTTTCGCAGCCACTGGAAATCGTCCCACACCTGCAACACTATGCGGTCCCACCAGTCTGTGCTTGTTTCCCAGGCCCAGAATCGGCGTTCCACGCCATGAACCTGCCCCATTAACAGCATGATCTCCAAAGCGCCGGGGCCCGTGGTTTGATAGAATTCCATGTCCATGTCCTCATCACTCTCGTCGCTGCGCTGCCGTAGCCTACTCCTCCTCGCCTGGTTTTGCAAGTTCTGGTTCAGCATAAACTGCACGATAACACGTGAGGTGTTTACAATGTTCATGACTGCTGTCTTGAGCTGAGTGGGCTCCATGCTTTCCGTGGTATGGCGTGTGCACTGTTCACCCAGGAAAAAGCCGCAAAACGGTTATCTGCCGTTGCTTTCCAGGAGGGAAGGGAGGATGTACCCAGAACCACCCGCGACAATGTTTTTGGCCCCATCAGGCATTGGGATCTCAACCCAGAATTCCAATGGGCGGAGGAGACTGCGGGAACTATGGGATAGCTACCCACAGTGCAACACTCCAGAAATCGACACTAGCCCCGGTACATGGACGCACACCGCCAAATTAATGTGCTTAGTGTGGCCGCATACATTCGACTTTATACAATCTGTTTTCAAAAACCGGTTTCTGTAAAATCGGAATAATCCCGTAGTGTAGACATACCCTCAGTATAGCCCAGTAACTGAACACTCTGGAGTTCTGTGATCACAGCTGGAAAATTGTGACCCGCTCGTTAGTGCACTCCCCTTTCCACTACCAGAGGAGGTTTTCTTATTTGGTTTGTTTCTTGATTATTAATACAACCAAACCGTGGTTTAATGACAGTTAACCCAAAATTTTAAAAGGGTGGAAATAAAAGTAAAAGGCCAGCATTTATTGCCATGTTCAGTGATGATAATACAGTGCATGTGGCATTCACTTCCATTGGCAACATACTCCATGTACGTCCGACATACATCAAAGCAGTGTGCACCTCAACTTAATCAAACTTGCTTCCTGTCACAAAACCTTAACTCTGACTTCCTAATTAATTGTCTCAAGAAACTGGCACATCTTTAAAAATTTTATTAAAGCTAATGTTAAAAAAATTATATAATACATAGGTTGGGGAAAGAGTGTTTTGTACATCTGGGTATAGTGCCTAGATTATCCACAAATACAAAGTTTGTTTTTAAAAGTCATATGCACTGGCATAGAGTACATAATCAGCCAAAACCCAAATTTAGGTGAATAGATTTAACAATACAGTTTAGTTATTAGAATCCAAATACTTGGTACATCACTCATGAAAAGTTATACAGAGATTTGGTTGTGGAAAGCAAAATATATCAATAAGTGAAGATTGTCCCTCAGTAATTGAGAATTAGGTTGGTTGTCCATTGAGAAAATACAATCCTACTATCACACAGTCCAAACATGGGTAATGTTATATTTTGCCGTTGTTGAGTTTGCTCATAAGGATTTTGCATTAGGATGCATTACACTTGCTTTATATTTTTGAAGGTCTTCTTTGTAACCATAAGAACTAGAAGACTTCTTGTTTTTAAATTGGGATTACGGAGAACAAGCACCCTAAAAAACCCCACCAAAGTGCTGGCTCACCGATATGACTAGTGCTATTCAAAGCCATGCCCCCTTTCCAGATTCCAAAGTCCTGCTGCAAATAATGGAGGTGTTAGAGCTGTTAAAAAAAGTTGCAAGAATCTTTTATGGAAAGTGCAAAATAACCTAAATAACCTCTCGATTATAATAACACCTGTATATAAATATATATGTAGATAATATAAAAAGCACCAATTACTGGCATATATATATGTAGCATTGTTCATAGTAGGTTTAATAAGAGTTTTACACTGCAAATGGCTTCTTGAATGCTGCTCTTAACAAACGGGTTAGCTGAGTCTCATGTCTAGAGAGACAAGGTGGGAGAGGTAATAGCTTTTACTGGACCAGCTTCTGTTGGTGAGAGAGACAAGCTCTCAGTCTTGTGGAGGGTTTACTAGGAGGTTGGGGATTGATCTCTGGGTTTCTCTCTGACCCATGAGGTGGAAGGGATGGGTCTGTCTTGTCCCACAAGAATGAGGAAGATTAGTAGGGAAGATGGATGTCTGCTACCCTGAGGGAAGGGTTGGCGTTAATGAGAACGACTGAGTTTTTGTCCCATGGAGAGGGGAGAGTGAATGGGGTAAGGGCTGAATCTCTTGGTCTCTGTGCTGTGGGTAGGGGAGGGTTAACTTTACAGTTCCATGTTGCCTCCCTCGTCTGCCCCCCCCCCTTTCCTGTTGCTTTCTCACCCTTTGCTGGCAGGAAGTTGCGGAACTTACTAGTTTCAGTTTGTGTTCGGTCTCTTGGTGCTAGATTCGCGTTGGCCTTGGGGGGCTTCTCTGTAGACGGGGGTCTTATCATGGGGACGTAGGAGACGACAGAACTATGGCCTATCCGGAGCCTTCCCCTGCCTTGGTGGCTACGGTGAGTAACACTTGGGATGAGTGCCTAACTCCCAACAGTCAGTCACCAGGCTGGAGAGTCGGGTTAATGGGAGCACAGAGCTGGGAGTGGTGTGGGTCTGGTTGGTGACTGCAGGAAGACTGGGAGTCAAGTCTCCTGGGTTGTATCCCCAGGTCTGGGAGGGCTGTGGGGTCTGGTGGGTTAAAATTGGGAGGAGAGTGAGAGTTAGGCCATCTGAGTTTTATTTTCTGATGTGCCTTTTGTGAGTCCCTTCCATTTTGCGGTCTCCTTTTCCCCCTCTGTAGAAGTAGGCTGGTACTGATAACCTGCCTCCCCTCGTGAGCTGCTCTCTCCTCCACTGGTGATCCCCACATTTTTTACTTTGCACCCCCCCTGCTGGGGCTGGGCCATGGCTCCTGGAGGGAGGGGCGTGGACAGGAGTAAGGGGGACAAGGCTGGGGCCACAGCTGGGGAGCGTTGCCTTGGGAGGGGGCCGAGGTCGGTAGCCAGGGACCCTGTCTTGGGCCCACAGCCGGAATCCAGGGCGCAGGGCTGTGAGCGGGGCACCGGGCTTGCAGCTGGGGGCGGGGCAGGAGTGGAGCTGGGTGCCGCTCCCCCCGTAGGGGCTGGCCTGGGCCCCAGCTGCGCCCCCCCCCCAATGTTCCTCGGCAGCCCCCTAGGGGTGCACTCCACAGTTTGGCGACTTCTGCCCTAGAAAGACTGTGCTCCTGTCCTTGATAAGTTCTAGAGAGAGAAGGTTGTAGAGGTAATATATTTTTCTCTGTGGGTGAGAGAGAGAAACTTTCCAGCCACACAGAGCTCTTCTACCTTTCCCAGACCTGAAGAAGAGCTTTGTCTTGAAAGCGTGTCTTTTTCACTAACAGAAGTTGGTCCTTTAAAAGCTATTACCTCACCCATCTTATCTCTAATATCCTGGGACCAACATGGCTACAATAACACTGCATACACCTGATGGGAGTCCGTGAGCTTGCACTCCTCTGGTGGGGTTCCCTTACATAAACTAGGCTGAAGGTTAGCCATATCCCACTTGGATTGGTGAGTGACCTGAGGCTGCTTTCTCCCACTGTCACACCACAGGAAATAACACTTAATCCAACTATCAAGGAGATGCTTCTCCTGAGGTTCCCCAGTCACTTCCACAATCCTACAACATCTCTGCTTCCTCCTGCAAATGCAGTGCTCTAACAGTCCCTCCAGTCCTCCCACCATCTACATATCCAATACCCTCCAGTTCCACAAATTTGGATAATGGATGTTGTGTTTCCTGTCCCTATGTATCTAATTCTCTTCAGTAATTCCTATTGCCCCATTTCCTGTGTCCAATTCTCCCCCAGTCCCTCCCATTCCCAGGGGTGCCATTTGGGGGGGGCACATGCCCCCCCCCCAGTTTCATACCACATTATAATTTTACGAATAAGGGTGGAGTTATGGGGGCGGGGGGCTTGTGGGTGGCTATTTTCCTTAGCCCTCTGTAACCACCCCTTCCAGAGCTAGGTGCCTGGCCAGCAGCTGCTGCTCTCCAGCCACCCAGCTCCTGCCACCATGGCCCTGGCAGTCTCCCCTTCTTTGGGAAACTGATCCATGGCTGGCAAGGTGCTGGGGGACCTCAACCAATGCTAGAGGTGGCCATGCCTGAGTGGGTCTCTGCTGAGCTGGTATGGAGGGAAAGGAAACCTGTCTGTGCTGGTGCCTCTGGCTCAGGAGTGGGAGCGTTCAGTCTCCTGAGTGCATGGCTTAGAGACAGCTCAGGTACATGCACACAGTCGCCCCCCTACAATCCTCCCCAACACACACATGCACAGTCTCTTACTCCCACTCTTTCACACACAGTCTCCCCCCAGAGACACTAACACACAGTCTCCCCCAATGCGCGTGCACACTCTCTCACACACTTGTATTATTATTATCATTGTTGTTGTTACTACTTGGTACTTCCTGTTGAAATGCGCAATACACATATATTCTCTGTAATTTTATTCTCTGTTATTTTAGTTTTTTTGACTGGTCTGTGCATTTCATAACTTTATTTCTCTCTTATGCTTAAATTTAATTCTTTGAGTAGTGAGTTCTAAAATGCCTAACCTGTCCTGGCTGGAGTAATTATCATTATTACTTTTATTACCATATTGTGCTTTGTCATTCATTATTTAAAGTGGTACAATCAAATAATATCCTTCTAGAATGTAAATTTAGCTTGTACTCACCTTAGCTGTGCCAGTTGTTTTTAAAATAAGCTAAACACATAACTTTAGACACTGTGCAGATGAAGTATTTCAAATTGTATTTTTAATTATATTTGTAAAATAACTTAAAATTTATATGAGAATAAATGTGGTTCCAAGTCTGATAGTAATGATGGAGTCAAATGTTAGTAAGTCACGTACATGATTGTGATTGGTAAACATAAATGCCAAAATAATTAGAAAAATAAATTTGCATTCTTAATAAAAGAGGGGAAAAAAACTTAATCACATATGTTACTAATTAAGTAAATACCTTTTTAGTGGAGTGAAAAACAATTGACTAAAATAGAGTAGATAATAGCAGTAACACAGAGTGTGTCTGTTAGAGAAAGTAAGCAGATTTTATTTATTTTTATTTATCTCTACTAAAGATAGTGTACAAAGTATCAAACTTGTGTTTCTGATATCTGTGTTAAGGTTCCAGAACTGATACCTCAACGCTTGGGATTGGGAATATCTAGCTGTACTATCCCCTGATTGTTCTAAATTTACATATAAACTTAATATATGGCTTTAATTGGTGTTTGTATATATTTTTCTTTCTTTATAAAGAAATTAGATACAGTGGTCCTATCAGCTAATTTCTAGGTTATCTACAAAAAACAACGTAAAGTTGCCCCTCCCCCCCCAACCTGAAATGGCGCCCTCTGATCTTTCATCTTGTGTAGTCAATGCCCTTCAGCACCTCCAGTTTCCCCTGCCTCTCCAGTGCTCCCTGTCTGGCTTTATTCACCCTGACTCTTGGAGGGATAGTTCAATTTGAGAAATCTCCAGGGAACCTGAATTGGGTTCTCCATGGGGGCCTGTGAAGCTGTGTTTTGGGGTTTCCACAGGGCTTTATATTCCAGGGGAGTATTCCTGGAGAAGGATTCTTTAGTATTCAGTGACTCTAGGGGTTACTGTGTCATTCTGGTGTTCTCTCCCCAGGGCCCCAGGCAGCTGCCTCTCTTCTCTGTTCCTGACTTCCTGGCATAGCAGAAACAATTCATTTTTAATGAGCTGCCTCCCTAATCTGTCCCTGGCTCAGCAAGAGGTTGGATTTACAGGAATTGCAGTTGCTTTCCAGACTTGCCAGCCAGCCTGGAGACTTTAACTCCTCAGTTGCTGGGATTAGTCAGAAAGAAAGGAATCTCTCCTCTCCTAAGCAGCACTGGAGAACCACTGCCTTACCGAGGGAAGGATTAAGTGGCATTTACCCCCTAAAACCTATATATGAGAGTTAGTACTGACTCAAAGGAGAGAGTGCTCCCTTCTGACTCACCCATGGTTTTCTGTGCAGTATAGCACCCACTAACACCATGTTTGGGCAGTGGGTACTGGGGGATATGTTATTAAAGCATCATGACTCCTGCCCCCCAAAATCATAATATTTAAAAAAAAATACAAGTTGGGTTTCTTTATTTGATTTTTGGCTTTTGAGTCTTTAGGGAGCACTTGAGTCACGTTTTCAAGCTTTTTTCTCTGCAGTTCTGAGGGCCAGTAACTTCCCTCTTTTAAAAAAGAAAGTTGAGATTCTCATGTAATTGCGTGACTCAGATTTGCGAAATAGTCATGAGAGTTGGCAACACTGAAGCTTGCGTTCACCAATTAAATATTTGTATTCTTGCTTTACAAACATTTAGCACAGAGAAACTAGCCTACAGCCAGTGGAAAAAATTTAATCTAAAAGTGCAGGGGCACAAGCAGCTGGGTCCACAGATGAGCTTGAATTTCCCCTCCTCCCAAAAGTCCCCAGTAGCATCATGTGCTATATTTATACCATAAAAGCTGGTGTACTTGTACACATAAGGGCTTGTTTACACTTGAATTTTTAGTTGTTTTAACATGTTATTTAACACTGTAACGTGACCGTAAATTCTAGTGTAGATGCTACACAAATGTTTGTTCTAGAACACAAACATTAAAACACTGGAATGAATATGTCTGGGGGCAAACTATTGTATAACACAGATGAATGACACATTAAAATACACAGAATAGAGGAAGTGAGCTTACCTATTCTTTACATTTTAATAAAGCATCTATGTTGTAAAATTTTGTTTTCCCCTGAAATATTCACTCAAATGTTTCTTCCTGAAGGAGATAAAAACTCAGCAAACTGATAATGATTAGCCTATGATTATTTCAGTACTTTAGCCACTGTCTTCTAATTCCAATACTGTAGCCAACTTGTCCTCACCAACAGCCCCTCTATTCCCCTCTGCAACTATTTATTTTCTTCCCCAATTTGCTCCCTCTTTTTCTTCTCTCTTGTTTTCTTCCTCACCTTGTTCCTCTTACTTGCTCACATCCCCCTCACTTGCAGACATCTACAGTACTTTCAGGCTAGGCAGGAGTGCCTGTGAGGGTGTGAATTGCAGAGGTGGTGGCTTTGGGTTTTGCCAGGCTGAAGATGGCCAGGGAGGGGGACTCTCAATGCCTCCCTGCACCAGCCTATAGCTGTGGTGGGTGAGGCTTGTGCATTGTATCACCACCAGCACATGCAGGGGATGGGCATATATATGTGCTCTCCCTCCCCATCCCAACTGACAGGCACTGCAACAGGTGCAGACAGCTACCTGAGGAGGCAGAAATGTGGAACAGAGAGCTAGAACTGGCTCCTTGATGAAACAGCAAAATGCAGTACAGTAGAGGGGGTCTGGCCTAGATAACTAAAATGGTATGCAATGTGTAACTTTGGGTTTAATCCCCAGTATTTTACATATAGCTGCCATGGTCTCAGAAACAGACAGGTCTGTCGCATCTTACGCGCATTTAACATGCGCGATTTCAGCTTTACGCGGTCGGCAAAAACCAAAAATAAAAACCAACAAAAAAGAGAAAAATACCAATTTTAATACTGTACCTGTAGTGCGGGCGATTCCGCCCGCCATTCAACTCAATGTAATTTTGACTATACGCGGTTTTCGCTTTACGCACTGACCGCGGAACGTAACCCCAGCGTAAGATGAGACAGACCTGTAGCTTGAACCGCTTTCTGATTCTTGTTCCCCAAGGTATGCCTCAGTGACTAAAAACATGATTCACCAGCACACATGCTGTGGTTTGGTGGTTTGAACTATTGTTTAATGTGGGGAATAAATTCTATCCATTTTGTAAACAAACAGGTGTTAGTTAGCATATACTTATCCCATCTTGATCTGTGGAATGGGTCCACTAAAGTCAAGTTGTAAATCTGACCAAGAGAAAGCAATTTCTCTGGATTGCAAAGGATGTCTGAACCTTGTCCTGGTGAGTTGCTATTTATGGAGTGTAACAACCTCTTTCAAAGAAGCTCATGCATGTCTTGCCAGTATGCTGCTTACTTCAGGGCTTGGTAGCTGTCATGGATTCCTAAATGACTACTTCTATAGAAATCATCATGGATATGCATTAACAAAAGTCCTTAATAGTTCTTGGGAACTAGTTATCATGGCATTTTGTGTGTGTAAAAGTCTTTTTAAAAGGCTGAGTCATTCGTTTTGGTTCATCTTTGGTTTATAGTTCTTTATTATTCCTCAGATCTTGATCAGTAATAAAACTTATTAGCCTTTTATGTATTTGTAAAACCTAGAAATGACTGTCTTGTAACTGCTTTCACAAAATCTGATTCATCCCTGTCCCTTTGTCTGTTATGCCTGAAGATGTGGTATCAGAGTAATCAACTTACATGACCTTGTGTTCTGTATGCTTGGCCTGGGCTTTTCTAGTATTTCCTATATTTATACTATGTACTTTATTTACACCTTGGTTCATGTTTATAAATTCCCATGGTATCTTGTTGAAAGCTGCTTCTTTGGCTAGAACATCAGCTTCATAATTATCAGACCATCTGCATAAATGCTCTTCCACTTTCTTTCCAGCAAATAATCAATTGCTGCAATCAGTTCTTTTTGTCTAACTGGCTTACCCTTGGAACTGTGGAATCCATCTTGCTTCCATGTGAGTTGGTTAATGGCAACTGTCCATCTTGAAAGTTGATGATATGAGTGCCAAAGCAGTTCAGTTACTATGTGTCGTGCTACAGCATTGTGGGTGGCTAAAAAGACCAATTCTTGAGTGACTATTCTTGCCACAGATAATGTGGGTATAAGGCACAGGGCAAGAAGATAAAGTTGGCACACTACTAGCTCTTGAGGCCTGCTGTACTTTCCTCTCTCAACCACCTCTCTTCAGCCTCTTTGAGTCCCTGGTGCACTGTAGCACTCCAGTATGGCCTGTTGCTAGTTGCATCTTCCCAGCTTGCAGTGTTGATGTTGACAGTTTTCAAGTCCCTCTTGCAAACATCTTTGGACTTGAGCCTTGGAGTACCCACAAGCTGGTTCAATATATCACATAAATGTGCATTTAAATACATTCTTTGTCTCTCTTTGACTGTTTTGTGGCAACTGAAAGAGCTGACAGTCTCTTATCTGTTATTTATAATTCATAGCTCTCTGACATTTTTGGAGAGAGGAGGTCCCCCTGTTTGCCAGAGTTTCATTTTCCTACCATTTCTGTAGTTTTGAAAGGCTTTCACATGTGTAACTTTCTCTTAAAAACGACTAACTTTTGAAAGGGGAATAGGATGGCATACAGCTGTAATAGGCATCTTTGTATGCTTATCTTTTCCTAAACCCACAACCACGACACTTTTTTATCTTTATTGGTTTAGCTTTCACTTTGCTAGAGTTCTCACATCAGAAAAAAGTCTATTTCTTTGCAACTGGTACTAATCCCTTTCACAAGAGCAAGTTAGGAAAACATTGCACTCAAATAAAATTACAAAGAACTTATAAAAACAAAGATCAAAACAATTTCACAGAAGCAAAGCAAAACAAGTACATTCTCACAGCACACTTCTCATTGAGAAGTCAGCCCACCCCAGGTACAAGGGAAAAATGTTATTTAACTCATTATGCCTATATAAGCCACCGAAATATTAGCTTTTAGATGTGTAGTGCATTAAAAACTTTTCACATAGGGTGTTCTTTCTTTTCTCACAGCCCAGTGCTTAACTTCTCAATAATCTGTGTGAGGTAACATACAAAGTAAAAAAGTTTTTAAATGAGGAAGGAAAATATAATTTTTCTTTACGGATGGAAATAGTAATAAGACTGCAGTCAAAAATATTTTCAGCTCACAGCTTTATAAATTATTCTGTTAAAGCAATTTCCCACAACCAAACACCGACAAAACAAAAACATTAAAATAAAGAGGTGGGGGAATACTCTTATAATTATAGATGAGTGAGTTGCTGTAATGATGTTACATTGCTCTGAAGCTTTCTAGACAGTTTTGAAAGTCTCAGGATGTCTGTCTTTGTAGTCCTGGAGCATATTAGTTTTTAAACAGTGAAATGTGTTACAAAAAAAGATTTCATCAGGAATCAGGTTGCCTTTTGCATGACTCAAGTGAAGGGATTTCAGTCCTTCCTTAAAATTCCACGTGGGTCATATTAGTCCATAGACATTATATCCATTACAGTCTCTCTTCAAACAGTAGGTCAGTTCAGTTGGTCTCATTGTCATGACAGGCTGGTGCTAGGCTCAGCTGTGAATTCTACCCAAGGAAATGTTTTCTCACAGTGGTCTTTTCCCTTTCCAGCTCATTCTAACTCTGGCCTGGGTGTGGGCTGAGGAATGCTTGGGAGTAGCCCCAAACCCAGATACCCAACAAATCCATGGGACAGCCCTGGGGAGAAAGAAGAGGGAGCCAAAGTGTCAGGTGGGAGCATACCTACACTCCAACAGGACCCACTGCTGCATGAGATGCCACGCAGGTACAGTAGAGTGTAACACTGAGTCTTTACTGCTAAGGCCAGAGAGGCATTCCTGTTTCCTGAACTCTCAGTCCAAATATCTCTTGTTCCCCAGCTATCCCTGGTGAGAATGCCACATCCTGGAGTAAAGGAGACATGTACTTTTAGTCATGGGATCTCCTCTCCCCTTGTCCCCTCACCCTGGTGAGTGCATCCCCTGCTGGGGCTAAGGAAACATACCATTTACCTGCACTCTCAGCCAGATGCTGCTCAAGACAATCTGCTGCCTAGGCAAAACTTCAGTACGTGCCCCTCACCCCTGCCCCCTCCCACTACAAAATCACCCCACCCTTTAGCATGCCAGGTGGCAATGCTATGGGAGGCCACCCCCCAGAAAGCTGCCATCCTAGGCAACTGTCTAGTTTGCCTATAGCTAGAGCAGCCTCTCAGCTCTGGGTTCCCCTGTCCCCTACAGTGTACCTGGCTCTCATTTGCCCTAGGGGAATGTCTCTTTATGCCTGTCAGATCCCTGTTAGGTGATTCTGTTTCAGGGACTTACTTGGCAGAAGACTGTCAGTCAGACAGTCTTGCGCCCAACTGCATGCCATGTCCTAAGGGCACGTTCACGGCTACGGATAACACTTTGAGGAAATGCATTAGTTGCCAACGGTGCCGTTCAGGTGAGTCTCACCCGTGGGATGATGGGGATGGGGGAAGCGGGTGGTGGTGGCGGGACAGGGACTGCAGGAGTGGACATGGAGATACGGCAGTGAGGAATGAGGATAGAGTGGAGGTGGGTGGATGGGGACAAGAACAGTGGAGGAAAGGGATAGGGACAGTGTTGGTAATTGCAATGGAGTGGTGGTGTTTTGATGAGGACATGAGCTTGTAGGGAGTGATCGTCAGGCTCTTTGGTACCAACTCTTAGTTGGGGAAAACAGAGGATGATGATGTCTGTTTCCGGCCTGTGCTGTCACCATGAAGAGGACCCAGTGGTGGAAAGAGGGTGGAATCATCTCTCTCCCTCTCTGTCGCCTCTCAGAATTACAGCAGATAACACTGTCTAAGTGCACTGAAAAGAAGGATACAGTCTGTGGCTGTCTGCCCAACCAATTTCAGAGCGAACCCAATACTTTATTCAAATGTAAGAACTGCAGCCCATGCCACAACGGGACCATCCTGAAAAACTGTGAGTGTAACACAGACAGCTGCTACTGCTGCCAGGGCAGGACATAGCACCCCTTCCTCCCACCCACTCGCCTTGGGGGAGCCATATCCCCTGCCTTGGTGTGATTTCTCTCCTGGAGCAATTTCTTGTTCCTTCCCTCCTACTGTATTTCCCTGAGTCCAGGAATGATTTCACCTTCTACAGTCTTCGCTACTCCTCCTTGCCTCCATGCAATCTTTGCTCCCCCATCACAGATTATATCTCTCTCCTGTACCACAGAGTGAACTTTTCCCCCCCTCCATATACCCAGGAGAAATTTCCTGCTTCATATTAATTCCTCCCACCCTGCCTGTGCTGGAGCCAGTCCTCTCTGTCCTGAGTAAATATTTCCTTCTGCTCTGGTGTGGATACTTCTCCCCTGCTGCTCTGGAGCAATGTCTTCCCACTCCCCTCAACAAGCCCTGGAAGGATCCTACTCTCACATACACTCTGGAGCAGTTTTATACCTCCTATGTCCTGGAGTGATGCACTCCCACACTGCCGTAGAAACACTTTCTCCTCTGCTCCCCCTGTCCTTGATTGATTTCCCTCTCCCTTGCATGGGGCAGTTCTCTCCTCCAGCCTCTCCCTGACTTGGGAGTGATTTTTCCATACCCCTCTCCTTATGGAGAGACTGAGGGTCTGTCTACACTTGAAATGCTACAGTTGCACCACTGTAGCGATTCAGTGTAGACACTACCTATGTTGATGGGAGAATGCCTCCCATTGTCATAGATAATCCACCTCCCTGAGAGATGGTAGCTAGATTGATTGAAGAATTCTTCCATCGACCTAGCACTGTCTACACAGAGACTTAAGTCAGCTTAACTATGCCACTCAGGCCAGGGGTGTGGATTTTTTACATCCCTGACCAACATAGTTAAACCGATCTAATTTTCTGGTGTAGACCAGGCCTTAATTCTGCACCACCTCCCTCCTGACCTAGACTCACTTCCTGTATCCCCTCCATCCCCTTTCTCCTGTAGTCTGTTTTCCTTCTTTTCCCATAGTACAGCTCCCTCCCCAATTGTTCTGAAGCTAGTCTCCCTCTCCTTGGCAATTTTCCCCTTCCACATCTCACACCTTCCCTGGTATGAATTTCCCTGCCCCTTAGGCGAGTCCACTCCTCTGCCCTGCCCCTTCCCATTCCGGCTTCTCTCTCTCTCACACTTGCACACACTCACACTTGCCCTAGAGTGACTTCCCTTCTCCCCCTGCCCTTGAGCAATTTCCTTCCCTCTCCTCTGACTTAGAGCTATTTCCCTCCCTCCTCCCCCTAGTGCTCTCCCCATCCCCCCTATGAGTTCTGGAGCCATTTTCCCTCCTTTCCTCAAGTGAGTTTTGCCTCTCTCTGCCCTGCCCTGCCTTTAGCTGGTTCCCTCCCTCCCACATCTAAAATGGTGTGACTTCCCCTTGAGCAGTTTCCCTCACAACTACACTAGAGCATTTTTCCTTATAGATATTGCCCACACATGACATCCCACACCTCAGAGTTATTTCCCCCTCCCCCCCCTGTCCTGACTGGCTTCCTCACCCATGCCTGCTGCTCTGGAGCCACTTCTCCCTCTCCTTCCCCTCCTGCTTGCTCTGTAGTGAATATTTTCCCTTGTGTACTTCTCTATTTCCATCCTTCAACCCAGTTTCTGCTACACTGGAGCAGTTTCCCTCTGTCCTGTGCCCGAGAGTGATCCCCCTGCTCTGGAACAGTTTTCCCCAACCACCATCTACCGGGGAGTGTCACACCTGCCCCCATCTCCTCTCAAACACCCGTGCCATCGAGTGATTCACCTTCCTGACAACAATTTCCCTACCCCCAAAGAGAGATTATCCTCTCCCCACCCTAGAGGGATTTTCCTTCTCCGTCATCTCCCCTGGGACTGACATTTCCCTCTTTTCTCTACAGGTGCAAAGGACAGTGACACGATCTGTGTATGTCACCCTGGATACTTCCTACACAAAAATAACTGCAACCCTTGCAGCAGGTTGGTTTCCTGTTCCTATGCTCCCCCTACTTGTGCAACAGTGAGAGTGGACTCCATTAGACACTGACCTTCTGCAGGCAGATTGAATAACCTTATCTTCCAGGCTCAGGCTGCCCCCAGTGCTGTCACCAGGCAGATTTGCAAGGAGCTGTGAAATGGGGCAGTCCCTGGGAATACTTGATACATGGTGCCCTCACTCCCCACATCATTCAGATTTCTGTTTCCCTCTTTCAGCTGTAATGAAGAAGAATGTAAGAAGGTCTGTGCCGCAATACCGAGTTCCCCCTCAGTGAAGAATGACTACTGGAGTACGCAGGGTATTGGCATTTCTCCAACATTTGCTTCTGCTTTCACTACCAACCCCATCACCCCTGCCCTATGACTGCCCTATCCATCCTCCTCTCTCCCCACTTTTCCTCTGCTTTCACTCCCCTCCCCATCTTCACATGTTCCCTTTCCAGTCTTGCTCCTGTCCTTACTCCCACCCTCTCCCCTTCCTTCCGTTACTCACTCGATCTCTCTCCCTCATCTAGGTCATACCAACTTACTCATTGGCCTCGTTGTTGTGCTTGCAGCTAGCCTTGGGCTGCTCTTTGCAGTTAAATTGATCAAGCAATACCGTCAAAGAGTGACAACGGCTATTTTTTACTCATGTGGTGAGTACAACAGTCTCTGTGGTGATACCGGCTGGGCGGATTTTGGGGGGGTGGGGGAGGGGAGGGAGGGAGATATGGGGGTCGGCCAGAGTAGATGAGCTCATTGTCCTGATTTTGGCAGTTCTTACAGTCTTGCATCTATTCTCACGCCTGTGATGAGAATCCCTCCCATGAGCTCGTTGCTGGGATTTGTGCATTTCACCACAATCCCTCGAGTGAAGTCAGAGCTGTGGAGGTACCCATGGGCTTGAGCTGCTTTTTCTGTATATCTTGGAGGGAAGGAAGTGAAAACAATTTCTCCTTTTTTTTCAGTTTCTACGCAGCAGCCAAAGAAGGAGCCGGTATCTGAAGTAAGCAAGGTACTCAGTGCAGAAACCTACCTTCAGATTATCATTCCCCTCAGTCCCATTCCACCTGCCTGGGGCCCAGGGCAATATTCTTCCCCTCAGCCTGTTCTCAGGGTTCGTACGTCTGAACGTCCCGAGCATTAGGGCTCTGGGCTGTATATATAAAGAGACAACTTCTCAGTTTCACAGACCCCCCGACTAGTGAGGAATAGTTCCTGAGTTCCTATCCCCAGGCTTCATCTTGCCCCGTTCTCTCTCTCAGGATTCATGCTTCTCAGACACTTGCAGATGGCTCTCATGTCCCACCCTGCCCCCCTACATACACATCCATCCTTTATGCCTGGCTTGGTCAAGCCTGGAAGATTTAGCTCATTGAATTTCTCCTCAGAACTTGATCCCTCCAGCTCCCTGAGCATTTCTGTGGCTCTTCTCTGAGCTCCTTCAATTTGTCGCTACCTCTCTGGGATTAAGGAGCTCAGAGCTGAGCGCAGTATCGGGGTCTCCTCAAGACTGTATAAAGAGGGACTGTCCCCTCCCTCCTCTGGAACTCGTTTGAGGTCTCTGAGAGCATGGGGCCCTGAGCTGGGCTCCCGGCATGACTCAGTTCTGTAGATGTTTCCTCTTAGACCCCCATTTTCTGATGCCAAGAGAAAGTTTAACCCTCTTGCTGTGCGAGTAAGAAATGTTTGACTCCATCCTCACAAATAAGGTGTCTGTGGGGGGTTCCCCTCCCTCATGGGGAAGTTTTAACTCCTGAGTCCCTGATCCACATCTCTCTTTACCCTGTTAAGTGTGCAGTGGCAGCTGTTCCCCTCAGATATAGTGGTGTTGGCCTGCCCCAGCGGTGATTCCAGAGTAAATACTTGTCTCTCACAGGTTGTGATAAACGAGAGGAAAGCTGCCACCTTTGCTCCGGTACCACCCCAGATCGAAAATATGTGGACAGCCAATGCTGTGCCAAGGTCAATGGTTGAACAGGAGCTACCAGATTGTGTCAGACCTGCTGGAAAGACTCAACTCCCAGACAGTGAGTGCAGCTTCCCCTGAGAAACAGGATTTCTGCATGCACGTGGGGGTGGGATGTGCATGTGCCTGTGCAGCATGTGCACCTGTGTGCATATGTGCATGACAACTCTGTACATCAGTTGCAGCCCTGTGCCCAAACAGATCTAGTACATATGAGTTCACATGTGTTGGTGTTTGCCTGAGGCCAGCCGAGAGTGGCCTGTTGCATGTGTCCAGTCTTGGACAGTCTTGTTTTGGTGAGTTTATGGCTTGCTGTACTTTACTGTGTGAATGTATGGCAGTGACACAGTGCAAGCATCTTTACAAGAATGGCCTGGCATGTGTGTGCATGTGTACGCAAGACCATTCCTGTGAACAAGCTTGCGGGGTCCCCCATATTCATTTGTAGATAGGCTCAGACCCAGATGTGACATGTGTCTGTGTGATCGCTCAGAGGGGTGCAAGACCTGATCTGGGGGAGGTGCTTCCCTACATGGCACCATCATGTTTCTCACCTCAGACTACACTGGTGCAATTTGCATCCCCCCTCCACTTCCCCAGACCCTGCTGCTGATGTCCCCTTGCTTCTTTCACCAGACCCTGTTGTTCTCTATACTGTGGCGGACCATGTGCTGCTGTCTCGGTGGAAGGAGTTTGTGCGACGCCTGGGGCTGAGTGACTATGAGATTGAGCGAATCGAGCTGGAGCAGCGGCGCGTGCGGGATGCCCAATACGAGATGCTGAGACAATGGAGGCTGCAGATGGGCCAGGGTGCCACAGTGGAGCGCATCAGCTACGTCCTCAACCAGATGGAGCTGAGTGGTTGCAGCGAGGCTATCCAGGAGGCACTGGCCGGGCAGCCCTAACCCCCATTCATACCTCCTGCACAGGCAACTCTAACCTCTTCTGCTTTAGTGCTCCCTTCTCTAGCTCTGTCCCTCCTCTTCAGAGAGGATTCTAATCCACTCTTTCTTTCTTGTGCGTCTCCACCCCCTCTGGTATGTTTGTTGGGGTTGGCAGCAGGTGATGCTGGTGGAAGGTTAATGATCACTTTTCAGTGAACCACAAAGTCACTTATGCCTTCAAACCAAGAGAAAGTCCTACAGCAACTGCCACAGGGGAGCACCTCCGAAAAGACAAAACAGACTGATTCTGTGACCAAAACATGGAGGCCAACCTATAACACAGAACCCAAACTCCCAGCCCTGGAAAGGGAACACTGATTGGGGCCCAGTCATGGGTGTTCAGGGGTTGGATGGTGCCACCACAAGAAAGAGGGAGAAGTTAGCTTCCTGTTCCTCTATTGCTCGAGGGGAGTAATGGGGTTTCTCGGGTGCTGATAAGTCAGGTGAGATTGGTGCTATTTCTATAGCTCTTTTCTGTACCTAAAACGCATGTAAAAGAGCATTAACAAAGTACATGTATGTGTGTCACTGTGCGTGTGTGCATGGACAAGAGCAAGTGTGCATGGATGGGAGTGAGTGTGGCTTTGAATGTGTTTGCCTGTGTGCATACATGAATGACTGGTTGAGAATGGAAAAGTGCATGCACATATGGTGGCATGAGTGCATCTGCACATCTCTGCTTACACTCAGGCAAGGCAGGCATGCGTGACTGTGGCCTCATATGTGTATCTGTCTTTGGATGATTTGCTTAATCTGATTTAACTGCAAATATGATGGCATATATTTTGTTAGGGACTTCTGAATAATTTCACACTACTTCCCAGTCTCCATCCCATGAGCGCTCACTGTTACATTCTTCCAAGTGTTAGCCCTTGTGAGGTGTGGAGTAGCTAAGGGCTCAAATTATCCTCACACCTTTTGAACGTGCATTCTCTGTCTCTTGCAGAGGGCCAGGAGGACTTTTTTAAACTCTTGTAAATACACTAAACGCTCTGAAATAAAAGCCCAGTTTGTAACCCTGCTTCCAGTCTGCATTTGTCCATTTAGTCCTCTCCTGCATACCACTGGAAGAGAAAGACAGGAGCCAGGGGGACCCCAGAAGCAACCAGCATGGGCCGTAGCCAGAGATGGAACATTGGATTTGTGGAATCAAGGATCTCCTCTTTTGTACATAGAATTCAATTGTCCCAAAGACTTGGGGAAGTTGGAGGAGAGCTGGCTGGTTGCGAGTGGGGAAAAGAGTGAATGGAGGCCTCAAGACATTTGGAGGATTAGTTTGTTAATGAGGTGCCAGCAAATTTTAAGTGAACTTGCAAACAATAGACAGTTAATATTAAAAAAATAGTAAAATCTCTTTGATTAAGCACAGGGAATAATTATAGTGAAGAGGCAGCTCCTCTATAGTTAATGTTAAGATCCCCTTTCTATTTAAAGCTCTATAATAAAAATAATGTGCTCTCATATAGCACATTTTTGTAGATCTCCACATACTTTACAAAGAAGGTCAGTATCATTATTATTTACAGGGGGGGAAACCTGGGACATAGAAGTGAAATAACTTGCTTGTCATTGCACAGGTCAGAGGCAGTGCGTCAATAAAACCCAGATCTCCTAAATCTCAGTCCAATGTTCTATTCACTAGCCCTGCTCGCTCATCTCAATTGGGGCCAGTTCTTTTAATCAAATGACTTAACTTAGGCAAAGTCTACACTACTAAATTAAGTTTACCTAAGTTACTTTGATGTACAGCCACTGCTGTAATTGAATCGGTTTTACATGTCTGCACTACGCTTCTTGTGTCCTCACCAGGAGTGCTTGCACCAATTTAACTGTCAGAGTGGGGTATTGCAGGATAGCTTCTGAAAAGTAGCAACAGTCAGTGTAAGCAACACAGTGTCTACACCAGTGATACTCAGACCTCAGTAGTTCAGGAACCAAATTAGCGATCAATCACATTACCCAGAAGAAGTAGTGTGAATTCATTGTTTCATTTACTATAGTACTACATATTCATATTTAAACAGTATATATATAGTTCTCACAGCAAAATGACTGACGAAGTATTATTATTTTATCAACTACAATTGGTTAATAATAGTAAAAGGATTCTGATTGGTTAATAATTAAATCACACCGTGTCTTAATATCATGTGCTGCAAAGAGCCACAGGATACACATTAAAGAGTCACTTGTGGCTCGCGAGCCTCTGTCTGTATATCACTGATCTACACTGACATTGCGTCGATCTAACTAAATCGACCTCAGCACTACGCCTCTCGCGGAGGTGGAGTTATTAAGTCAGTGTAGTGGGTGAGTTACATCGGTGAGAGCTGCATTTTAGTATAGACACTTGAGTTAGGTCGACGTAAGTGCCTTAGTAGGCTCAGCACAAAGCATTTTTATCCTTTTCACAACCTAACCTTTACTTGTAAACATACAACTATATAACAATCAACTGCTATAGGGATGATGAGATAACTGGCTCTGTGGATGAGGGGAAAGCAGTGGATGTGTTATTCCTTGACTTTAGCAAAGCTTTTGATACGGTCTCCCACAGTATTCTTGCTGCCAAGTTAAAGAAGTATGGGCTGGATGAATGGACTGTAAGGTGGATAGAAAGCTGGCTAGATCGTCGGGCTCAACGGGTAGTGATCAATGGCTCCATGTCTAGTTGGCAGCCAGTGTCAAGCGGAGTGCCCCAAGGGTCGGTCCTGGGGCCGGTTTTGTTTAATATCTTTATTAATGATCTGGAGGATGGTGTGGACTGCACTCTCAGCAAGTTTGCCGATGACACTAAACTCGGAGGCGTGGTAGATACACTAGACGGTAGGGATCGGATACAGAGGGACCTAGACAAATTAGAGGATTGGGCCAAAAGAAACCTGATGAGGTTCAACAAGGACAAGTGCAGAGTCCTGCACCTAGGACGGAAGAAACCTATGCACTGCTACAGACTAGGGACCGGGTGGCTAGGTAGCAGTTCTGCAGAAAAGGACCTAGGGGTCACAGTGGACGAGAAGCTGGATATGAGTCAACAGTGCTCTTGTTGCCAAGAAGGCTAACGGCATTTTGGGCTGTATAAGTAGGGGCATTGCCAGCAGATCGAGGGACGTGATCGTTCCCCTTTATTCGACATTGGTGAGGCCTCATCTGGAGTACTGTGTCCAGTTTTGGGCCCCACACTACAAGAAGGATGTGGAAAAATTGGAAAGAGTCCAGCGGAGGGCAACAAAAATGATTAGGGGTCTGGAGCGCATGACTTATGAGGAGAGGCTGAGGGAACTGGGATTGTTTAGTCTCCAGAAGAGAAGAATGAGGGGGGATTTGATAGCAGCCTTCAACTACCTGAAGGGGGGTTCCAAAGAGGATGGAACTCGGCTGTTCTCAATGGTGGCAGATGACAGAACAAGGAGCAATGGTCTCAAGTTGCAGTGGGGGAGGTCTAGGTTGGATATTAGGAAACACTATTTCACTAGGAGGGTGGTGAAGCACTGGAATGCGTTACCTAGGGAGGTGGTGGAGTCTCCTTCCTTGGAGGTTTTTAAGGCCCGGCTTGACAAAGCCCTGGCTGGGATGATTTAGTTGGGAATTGGTCCTGCTTTGAGCAGGGGGTTAGACTAGATGACCTCCTGAGGTCCCTTCCAACCCTGATATTCTATGATTCTATGACACTAGATATTCAAAGACAAGGAAACAAAATTTATAAGGGAAAGAAAATTTTCAGGATTGTTTAAAGCAACTACTGCTATGATCTTTGAATTTTACAAGATTCTTTTACACCAAGCATGCACTTAATTTGTTAAAATCAAATGATGTTAAGGTAAGTACACAAGTAAACCAAAAGCCCTAAAAGCAGTAAAAAAAACACATATTGTTGTCATCAAGACAATTTCTTAATATATTAAAGTAACAGAAATCACACACATATTCTGAATAGTTAAAATGTACCATAGAACAGTCTTAAGACTGTTTCGCACAGTGAAAGTCATTATCACATTTAGTACATGATACATATAAGCACAGGTATGCCTTACACCAGGGGTCTCAAACAGGGGGTCGCAAGGTTATTACATGGGGGGTCATGAGCTGTCAGCCTCCATCCCAAGCCCCACTTTGCATCCAGCATTTATAATGGTGTTAAATATATAAAAAAGTGTTTTTAATTTATAAGGTGGGGGTCGCACTCATAGGCTTGCTATTTGAAAGGAGTCACCAGTACAAAAGTTTGAGAACCACTGGCTTACACCAATGATTGATGCATTCTTGATGCCATTGACCATTCCAGAAAAGGGGGGAGGGAACCAAATCACAGACCCCAACATTTTTGTCAATGCATAATTGTCAATGCATTGCAATTCCATGAATTAAATCTAAAGTGGTAATCATATTAAACATTTAGATTTTAAAATACATTGGTCACTGCTTAATGTAATCAGTAAGGTACAAGTAATTAATGGTACAAATTATAATTGTACTGCCATGTATCTCCAGAATCCTTCTGAATACAGTTAACTGTACTGCTGTGTATTTCCAGAGTCCTGAACACTTACAGTTGCATCATTTAATGCCTGCTCAAGCCAATATAAAAGGTTTTTTTTCACATCATCCCTGCTCTGTTTTTGATTCATATTTGCCATTTTACATGGTTCAGTTGACTGTCAGAGAAGTGACTGAAAGATGCCAACTTTAGAAGCAATTTCTCTTTAATTACTCTTCTTGATTACAATATCTGCTACCATTCATAACAGAAGAAAAAGAGATATGGTAGATCTCTATGGAGGATTCCCGGGCCATCCCTGTGCACATAAACAACCTTTTTCATGGGGCACTCTCTGCCTACCTGGTGCAGCTACTGGGAAGCAAATAGATACTGTACCTCATCATTTTTTTTTTAATTAAACAGAGTATAAGAATATGTGACCTCCAAATATTAATTGGACTTGCCATACTCACCAGAGGTGCCTTCTCCAGCATCACGCTTGGCCATGATGCTGTTCTGTGACTGGCTGAACTGCTCCGGAGGTTACAAACAGCTCCTGGCTCTCTGGGAGAATGGATCCCTTGCTGGACTGTCTCCCATTC